ATGCAGCTAAACCTACCTATCCTCCAATAAAACAGACCATGTGCGTAGATCTGAATGCTTTATTGAAAGAACAGGATATGGTGAAATCAGGGAAAATAGGGATACATACAATGAGAACCAAATACAAGATAGACAGCATTACGTTACTGCTGAACATAACAATTAATAAATACAAGCAATTTAAATCTCACTAGCGATGCTCTGTGTGTGGGATGTGGGTTTGTCCTTGGATGACCACATGCCACAGATTAAGACGGAATCTTCTTTGTGCTTCTGCCTTCTCCAAATGCTAAAGGAAATGGAGTCTGGCTTCCCAGCGTGCACTTGGTTTGACAGTGCAGGCTGATGAGTAAACGGTTTGGATCAACTTCAAACAATATACTTGGTATTTGTCTCTCTGGCCACTAGATGGGGCTAGAGAGCAACAACAGTATATAAAAGTTATATGCTGGGGCATGACACCACTCACACAGCAAACTGTGCAAAGTTATGATGGGGCTAACTTGTGGCTATTGCAGCATCCCTACGGTCACATGATCAAAATTTGGGTGCTCGCTAACTAGCATGCACTTATGATGGTTGCAGCATCCTGTGGTCACATGATCACTATTTGTGACCTTCACAGCCAGCTTCCAACAGGGAAAATCAATGGGAACTCAGCAGGAAATTACAAGTCATGACCGTGTGAGATCACCCTCAATGACCCTCGGTGACTTGCTTCCCAATTGCAGCCAGAGCTGATGTTGTAAATCAGCACAGTCACGTGATGCTTCACTTTACGACCATATGACTCTGCAGTGGAGTCACTGGTTCCAATTGCAGTCAGTAAGTTAGGACCACCTCACTTAGGAATTTGGGGGTAACAAATTCCTACATCTTTTTGAAATTAGCGGTGTTATTGCAGACACATCTACTCAGCCAGCAAGGACTACAGTATCCGGTATCTAGATTATAGGAAAGAGATACAGAAAACTCATTGCTGCTTTCCAGTGGTCATTTGCAAATGAAATAGTACTGTATGTTTATTTTGTGTTTATAAATTTATATCCGGTTGTTGTTCATTCTGATATTGAAAGCTACATCTTGCACCAACTGCAATTTCTGGACAGTTTTCAAGACTACCATGTACTTTCATACAGTACATAGCCCTTGACCTAGAATCATAATTGAGCCCAGAATTATAGTCATAATTCATTGCATTTGTAAATTGAGATATCCAATGACTAGATCCGATTTTTGACATTTTTTGCTGCGGTTGTTAAATGAACATGGCAGTCATTAAACATACACCATGATTAGCACAGTGGTTAGAATGCAGGATTGTAGGCTAATTCTTTTCACTACCAACTGCCAGCAGTTCGGCACTTAGAGCCTCACCGGCTCAAAGTTATCCCCTCCTTCCATCCTTCCGAAGTCGGTAAAATGAGGACCCAGATTGTTGGGGGCAACATGCTGACTCTGTAAACTGCTTAGAGAAGGCTGTAAAGCACTGTGAAGCGATTATGTAAGTCTAAGTGCTATTGCTATTATTAATTTTCCCAAATGTGGATTTTTCCCTGCAAAGTAGAAACAAATGCCAGAAAGTGGCCAAAAACATTGCAAAACAGGGTCATGTGACGGTGGGATAAATAGCTGTAAAGGGGAGCCAGTTGCAAAAGTGGCTAAAATTTGATTACATGACCAGAGGCTCTGTGTGTTGCCATCATAACTTTGAAAATGGGCCATAAGCAACTTTTGAATGGGGGTCCTCCCCAGTTTGTCACCGGTTTGCTGCCCGCGCATGCTTGGTGTGTGCTTTGCACATGTTTTGCACGCACATGTGCAGTCCTCACCAAATGCACGCTGCAGGCACAGGCGCAGTCAGTGGCAAATGCATGCTGCATGTGCATAGTGCGCCAAATGCTGCATGTGGATGTGCAGTGTGCGCCAAATGCTGCATGCGCATGTACATGCACAGTGCACCAAATGCTGCATGTGCAGTGTGCACCAAACGCGCACTTCACGCAGAAAAAGGAGGCTTGGGAAGGTAATTAGAACAGCGAGGGGGGGGGAACAACTGTGTTGTGTGATTTAGATTTGCTAAAATTTAAATCGCGCGACATAGCTGATCATCAGAAATACCAGTTCAGATGAACTGGTAGGTTTTTTTTTTTTACTACCGGTTTGCCTGAACCGGTGCGAACTGGTAGCATTTCACCCCTGGTCCAGCCTAACTTTGAATGGTCGCTTAGTGACTGGTTTTAAATTGAGGGCTACCTGTAAACTAGCAGTTGAACATTGAGAAGCGCTCCCAAAGAGTGAACTGAGATTTTGTGGGGAGTAGGAGCATGACCCCAGCCAGAACAGTCTTATTCAGTTCCAGAATCTACCCTTTTTCCTTACAAAAAGCACCTGCATGTGGTGTGGAATTTCTTTCAGTTGATTTTTCTTCATCCAGCCCATTATTAAGCTAAGGCAGCTTATTTTTTCCACCTTTGGAATGTCATGGAATAATACAGCTAATTCATGTGGGTTTTTATATTGTTGGCATCTACCCTTTCCCCTCCCCAATTTCCTGTAGACGCTAAACAGCATGGGAGACAAAACGTATCTGGAACATTATAGATCAGCAGCATAGGTGTTGGAGCAATAGTCCTTTAGTCCTGTCTTCTGGTCTATTCCTACTGGAACTATTGCAAGTTCCCAAAGACCAATCCTTCTATCACCACCGGATGGATTTGTAACTGTCTGACCAACCGCACTCAACGTGTAGTCTTCAATGGAACTGCATCTACATGGAGGGAAGTATGCAGTGGAGAACCGAAGGCTCTGTTTTAAACCCAGGAGCCTTCAACATCTTCATCAATGACTTGGACAAGGTGATAGATGGAGAACTCATCAAATTTGCAGATGACACCAAGGTAGCAGGAAAAGCCAACACTCCAGAAGATAGGCTTAAGATACAGAAGGATCTTCACAGACTTGAACATTGGGCGCTATCTAACAAAATGAAATTCAATGGTGAAAAAAGTAAGATTCTATATTTAGGCAAGAAAACTAAAATGCACAGGTACAGTATATGTGGTACCTTGCTCAATAGTAGTAACTGTGAGAGGGCTCTTGGAGTCCTAGTGGACAATCACTTAAATATGAGCCAGCAGTGTGCTGCAGCTGCCAAAAAAGCCAACACAGTTCTAGGCTGCATAAACAGAGGGATAGAATCAAGATCACGTGAAGTGTTAATACTACTTTATGATGCCTTGGTAAGGCCACACTTGGAATACTGCATTCAGTTTTGGTCGCCACGATGTAAAAAAGATGTTAAGACTCTAGAAAGAGTGCAGAGAAGAGCAACAAAGATGATTAGGGAACTGGAGGCTAAAACATATGAAGAACGGTTGCAGGAACTGGTTATGTCTAGTCTGATGAAAAGAAGGACTAGGGGTGACATGATAGCAGTGTTCCAATATCTCAGGGGCTGCCACAAAGAAGAGGGAGTCAAGCTATTCTCCAAAGCACCTGAGGGCAGGACAAGAAGCAATGGGTGGAAACTAATCAAGGAGAGAAGCAATTTAGAACTAAGGAGGAATTTCCTGAAAGTTAGAACAATTAATCAGTGGAAAAACTTGCCTCCAGAAGTTGTAAATGCTCCAACACTGGAAGTTTTTAAGAAGATATTGGACAACCATTTTTCTGAAGTGGTGTAGGGTTTACTGCCTAAGCAGGGGATTAGACTAGAAGACCTCCAAAGTCCCTTCCAACTCTGTTATTCTATTCTATTCTAAATGGTACAGAAGGTATCATGGTTGATGGCATCAAAAACCACCCAGAGGTCCAAGGGAAGTAGCAGGGATTCGCACACTTCGATGATAGATCACCTATCAAGGCACAGAAGATAGTCCCAAGACCATCTTCTTACATATACATGTACAGTACATATACTCTTGTCCCATATCTATCCTATATCCATATCTATATATTTATATCTGTCTCTATATCATCTATGGATCACCTATCAATCATCTACCATCTACCCGTATCATCTATCATCTGTCTCCTATGTCTTATCTATCCCTATCCCTAACCTTATCATCTATATTTTACTCCTCCTACATACAAGTTCCTGCCTCCTTTAAGCATGCAGGGACGCATCCCTTATTCAAGGAGAATTTTTTTTTGGGGGGGGGGTCTCTCTTTGCTAGAAAAGTATATCCCAGCCTGGTCTGTTTAATCCTCCAGGAAAGGCAGGGGGTGAGAAACAAGCGGCAAGCGGTACCTCTCCGTATACCCCTGCCTACTACAACCATCCGGACTTCTACCGAGCCAAAACTACGCGACTGCAGCTTAGCCCGCCTTGCGTGCCAGGAGATGGTTCTCTGTGTCAGAGGGGCTCCAAAAACGCCGAACGACAGGAATCACCATGGGGAAAGTTATCAATGATATGCAAAGACAGCCGCCGAGCTCAATGAGAGACAGCCACGATAAGCGATCCTACGGCAGAGGTCTCCAGCCTTGGCAACTTTAAGCCTGGAGGACTTCAACTCCCAGAATTCTTTGCTGGCTGGGGAATTCTGGGAGTTGAAGTCCGCCAGGCTTAAAGTTGCCAAGGTTGGAGAGCCCTGTTTTACGGGACAACCGTTTTCCCTTGCTCGTAAATCTGATCGCGACGTGAAGTCTCTCTCGCCTTGCCGTTCAAGCCCCGGTGCGCCAGGACGTCCGTCCTCTTCGCTTCCTTAGGAAAAAGCCACCGGAGTCCTCCTTAGCAGAGCTCGGAGACCCGACCCCCCCCCCCCCCCCCACCTCGCAGGCACCTCTTTCTTGTAATAACACAGGCGGCTCGATCCCGCCGAGTCCAGGCAGGAGAAAAGAAGAGAGGAGAGGAGAGGAGCGTGGCGCAGCGACAGACCGGCGCTGGGTGGGCAGGGGATACTGCTTGGGCGCAGTTTTGCATAGATTATACTTAAAAGCCGAATCTCCAGCCTTCCCGGGTCAGGAGCACTGAGGGAAGAGGGAAGGGGGGCCCCGCCCCTTCGGTCTAGGTGAATAAATTATGCTAATGAGACTCCCGAGGTTCTGGCAGGCGCTTGAAGGCGGCGTTCAGCCCAGAGAACCAAGCGGGAGGCTTCGGAGACGTTTTTGCTGCTGCTGCTGCTGCTGCTTTCCTGACAGCCGCTACTAGAGGCGCCTACGCAGGCAGGCAGGCAGGCAGGCAAGGGGGCTGCAAACGGGCTCCGGGCGAACGCTTCTGCTCTCGACTTGGATTTAAAGGGGGTGGATGCTGAAGTAACTCCGAAGTTGTCCGGCTTGGCAGGCAGGCAGGCAGGCAGGCAAGCGCCAAAGGAAACCCGAGGAGCAACAAGTCCGTCGGCGCCGTCGGGGAAAGAGCCTGGAAAAAAAAGCAGCACCTGACGGAGGTTTGCCAGGCGCCTCTGGCCGGCAGATGCCATAAAAGGCAAGCGGCTGGAGGAGGGTGAAAGGCTGCCCTGCTTCTCGACGGGGTGTGTGTGTGTGTGTGTGTGTCCCCGCGACCCTCTTTGGAGGGCAGTTTGAGAGCCACCTCGGAAATCCAAGGGAGCCCGTCCTGCCCGCCGCTTTTGGGGGGCATCGAAAGTGCCTTTTCTCGGCTTTTGGAGGGAGCCGTTTGAATTTTTTTGTCCCGCTCTTGGGGTTCCTGTTCTTTTTTTTGTGTGTGTGTGTGGCGGGGATCTTCGGCCAAAGCAGCCGCCCACTGAGAAGGAGGAGGAGGAAGAGGAGGAAAGGGGGTATTTCTGTGCTGCCTCTTCCCAGCCAAGCATGGTGGGGAAAAGAAACCCCGATGCCAAGGGGGAAGCCCTTGGCTGCTTTGGCGGACAGGGCTTCTGCTCCGTCAGGTCTGCTCCGCCCTTCAACTCGCTGCTGGCTGCCTGCCTTCTCTCGGTGGGCTCCATCGCTTCCTGTGTCTATCTGGGGATGAAGACCAACGACCTTCAGGCCAGGGTCTTTGCCATTGAGGCAGCGCAAGGGGACGTGGGCGCTGCTGCTGCTGCTGTTGCTGGCTCCTACCGGTCGCTGCCCAGCTATTCTTTGGATCAGCTGAATTCCCTGATGCAGGAAAAAGTGGAGCAACTTCTGGCTCAGGTGAGGTGGCCCTGAAAATGGAGGATGGGCTTGGCCGTCCCAAGGAAAAGAGGCTCTTTAGCCAGCCAGTCAGTTCAGAGGTACCTGGGCGTTTGTGAAATGGATTGGCCGTCTAGAGGGGACCTCTAGGAAAAGAACGGGCACACGGGTAGTCTTTCAGACATCCGTCAGCTCTAGCCTAGCCTAGTTGTGGAGGGATGAGAGAAGCTGCAGCTCAGCAACATCTGGAGGTCCGCACAATGTTAACTCTTGCCCTTCTGCCTTGGTCTTTAACCAAAGGCAGCATGAGAGATGGTGTGCCTCTTGGTGGTGGTGGGAGCTGGTATGATGGGGGAAAGTAGAAGAGCAAAATGCTTTTGTTAGGAATTGTCTGATTGAAGAGATAAGGCAGAAATCAAATTTATTCACTTTGTAATAGTATGCACTGCATTTACTTCTCCCCTTTTCTGCACCAAGACAGTATGTATAATACCCCAGTATCTTCCTATGTGGCATTCAGTATTAAGTGAGAAAACTGTGGCTGTCCCCATGTGACCCATTGATGTCACGGCTAACTGAGGGTTGAAACCTGTGTTTTCCAAATCCTAAACCAGCACTCTTAACTGCTACCCTACACTGGTTTTATCTATATTAACTAATTTGAGGACAATGCAAGTTAGAATGCACTTCAATCTTTTTTTGAATGCCAGAACAGGTTCTTCTCTCTGTTAGCATTGCTCTTTTTGTAGAATAACAGTTATAACAAAGAGTATCCTATGCTCATATGGACTTTTCCTTAAGTTATCATTACCAGCTACACCCACCCAGCCCCACAAAAATTTAGAAGAAAAAGAGGGCCATGAATCTATAAACAAGTGTGCTGCCTGGAGTTTGGACATGGGAATTGTGCTCAGTTGAATAAACTAAATAAACAAGTGGTAGCTATCAGTTGCCTGAACAAAATTCTTTAAAACAAGGGTTATTATAGTGCTCAGTGGACTGCTATGAACTAGAGGCAATATGGGGCATTTGTTGCATTCCAGGAATAGCTTGAAAAAAGAGACAGCGGTAACATTAGCGGGGCTCCGTGTTACATGTTACAGAATGATATTCTTCCAACCGCATTATGTTTTCTTATGCTGTGTAGGAGATGACCAGACTGATCCCTCCCTCGAGCTCATCTCTTACAGGAGGGTTACTTGGTTAGCATTATGGTTGACGAGAGTGCCACACAGACATGTGTTTGTAAAGTAGATATTTAAGTTTCAATGGGCAGCCAGGACCAGTCCAGGAGACTGGTTGGCAGCAGCAATTAGAATTCAGTGTGCAGGAGCTATTTCTATAAATGTGGAAGCAGTTGACCTGCATATACAAAATATTCATTGCTTTTAATCTCTAATTTTCAGATATTTGCCTGAACAAAATTCTCTGTATCTGCATAGATATTATGGGGAAAGATAAGCTATCATTTTCATACGTTAGAGACAGTGCAAGGGGACATGGGTGATGCTTAATTTTTTTTTTTTGAATTTATGTGTGATATTTAAATCAGGGACAGCAATAGGTGTGACTCCAGAAGTTGTTAAACTCTATTGCTCATCATATCCTCTGCCAGGATAGCCAATGATTACGGATGAGAGAGTGGGACTTTAAGAACATCTGGAAATATATGCTTGATTCACTTCTGATTTAAGCTGTGGCTACGATTAACAGTGCACAAGTGATCAATTGATTAACATACAGAAACTAGAAATGATGAAAGTTAAATGGGATAATAAATATCAGTTTATTGTATGTTTGCTCCTTATAAATACTGTAGAACATTTGGCACTAGTTCTCTCATTCAGCTTTTGCTGCAAAGGAATGTTTTTCAGATATTCTTTTTCTTCCCTATAGAAGACGTATGAACATATGGCAAAAATCAGAACAGTAAGAGAAGCTTCTTCAGAATGCAACTGCCCACCAGGTAAATGAAAAGAGCCTCTAAAAATATTCTAAAACAATTTGACACTACTTTTACGTACTATGTATAGATGTATGGTCAGTATTGCCAGATATTGAACAATGTGTTCTCATTGTTCCTTTGATTATTTTATCGGTGAAAGACTCAGGAATAAAATACTGTACAGACAAGTTAATATAATCAAAAGATTAGGGAAAATATTAATTATGCTAGGTAATTTCTTACCTCCTGCTCCATTCCTGGAAAGGAAGTTCCTTTAATTCAGTGACTTATTTCTGGGTGGGCATGGATAAGATTGCACAATAATAGTTAAGGAGAATCATAAACAAAATACAGCAAAACAAATATTATTGTCTGTAATGTGTGTTAAGGCCTTGAACCTGTATGATCTTAATTTGTTCAACGTGAGTTTAAACTTTCTTGTCTAAAGCGTAATAAATTTTATGGGACTCAGCCCCTAGGAAATCCTGTTTAAGGTTACAATCAGTCATTTTAATACTTCCTTATCAGAGAGGAAGCCCTATTGAATTCAATGGTTTCTTTTTTAGTAGAAATATATCTGATTGCACTGTGTGACTACAATCCCTTGGGTTTCTGTCTGTCATAAGCCAGTGAGATGTTTTTAACATAGGAAAGGATATAAAAATGACTTAAATAAATAAAGAATTATGGAACCCAGTGGGATGCAGTTTTAAGTAAATAAGCATTAGATGAAGGTTATAAAGCTAAAATCCTTTTCACATTTATTTAGCATTAAATCATATTGAATTGGGGTTTGCTTTAAGTAGATAAATGTTCATAGGCTCATGCTGTTTATTCATCTATTTTAAAGCACTTAGAAGCTTATTACTAAATAAATGTATTTAAGAATGTTCAGTGAATGAACACACAGTAAATGAAGCATTCCAGAAATGTTTACATTTCAGGGGTAGATTCATATATTCTATTACTACACGGTAGAAGTCATTATCTGTGACTTGCCTTTTTGAAAAAAAGAGAAAGTCAAGTGTATAAGTTAAAACTAAACAAAACTTTAGTTAATAATTATTTTTCAATTTGCATTGTAGAATACGTGCATTTGTGTTGCATTTGTGTTGCATTTGCATACTATGTGTGTGCGTGCATGTATTTTTGAATTAGCAATTATTAAATGTTTGAGTCTTCAAAAATGAGATCAATAATTGTGAGAATTTATTATTTCCCTTTTTTTAAAAAAAAAGTTGCAGTACAGTACTGTTTATGTGTATATGTTTTTAACTATATTCAGAAATTAGAGTCTAACTAGTGCTATTTTTGTCGGGTTCCGTGAAGTTAGAGTGGCAAATAAGCTATTACAGTGACTTATTTATGGTGTACTCTCTGCCAGGATGATGCTCATACAAAAAAGTGGATCCTATGAACTATTTCACCATCAAGACTTAAAGAGAAGTATTGACCTTTTCAGGGATATATTAGGAATAAAATTAAATTGGTAGTTAGGTCATTAAAGCAGCCTATATTTCATTCATACAAACATTATGGAATAAGTCTAAGGTTCTGCATGTATATAGCTTCTTTGCTGCAGATGAGTAGAATAATGTAAGGATATTGGAATCAGAGACAGAAAGTGTGCCTGAAACCAGGGCTTAGAGCAGTGTTTTTCACACTTGGAAATTCTAGCTGAGGAATTATGGGAAGTGAAGTCCATTACAGCTTAAAGTTGCCAAGATTGAGAAACATTGGCCAAGAGCATGTCCAACCTACCATTATTGTATGATGGTCCATGGAAGAATGTGAAGGTGCTTTGGAGAGTAAAATAACCTGAAAACCATTTCACTTATTACTCCAGTAATCAGTTATCTGTATCTGGAAACAAGTTTGCAGCTTGTAGAAGTTCCTCATACCATGACTGCTGAAAATTGATAGTAATTTAGTGGAAAATACTTGAAAACTACAGATTATGTTAAAATAGCACAAATCAAGAAAAATCTCCCAAACCCAGCCTTGCCCATGTGTAATGTAGCTCCATCTACTTTGTAGTTCTTAGCCCTTCCCCCAAGAAATGTTAATTATAATTCTTAGACACCAAAAGGGGCATATTGTAGAGAAGCAACTCATTTGCTTTTGAGCATATTGCCAAAAGAAATCTGCAAGCAATTATGGTTTCTTAATGAGCATATATGTATGGTATATATATATCTGAGGATGTGTTTTTGAAATGTATGCGTTATTTATGTGCTTTTAAAATATCTTGAAATGTATCCAAATATATTAATCACAGAATTTTTTTGTGATATATAGTAGTGCCCATATTTGAATTTTGAAAGGTATTAATATCCAACTAAAATTATGCTAAGGTATTAATATACTGTAGATATTAATCTCCAACTAAAAAATGCTAAATAAAATATGTTTGATAATCATTTGATAAATCCTATAGATCAAAAATAAAGAGTAAAGAGGGTGATTCTTTTTATTGGCTCAATTAATATTCAAAATGCTGGTAAGTGTAAAATTTGAATATATGTTTGTCAATTGCCGAGCCTTTATTTTGAATTGTTTGAATTGGTGTTTTAATTTAATTTTGCGTGCTCCGAAAAATGAAAAAAAAATAGTATGTATTTTAATTATTTCTATACAATAGAAGGGATGTTCTGATTGGGATGTAGATATGTATGCATATTACTGTGTATATACAGTAATGTATGTTCTGGATGAGGTGAATTTAATTAGAATATCCTGCTTCCTTTATAAATGCTATGATCTCATATGTGGACTTGATATATGGCATGATGAATATCTTGATCCTTGCAAACCTGTTCTACTTTTATTTTAATATAATTTCAATGTTTATCCTTTTTTTCATCTCTACCCAGACCCCAGCCTATGAGTTAAACAAACAAGTGATCAGTAATGAGACTAATATTAAAGTACCATTCCCCTCCTTAAATTGACACTATCCCACCACAGCTTCAAGATAAGTAAAATTCATAATATTTTGCTACCTGTTATTTTGGACTGAAGTGTGATCAGAGGTTTTTCTTTTTCTTTCTTTTTCTTTTGAGGGATGTTGATATCATGCCCCTTTCCTTCTGGTCACTAGGTAGCTTCTTCCTCAACATTTTCTACATTGGCACTTAGTTTCTTAAATTCCTTTCATATCTCTCATCTTGACTCCCTGTTTTGATACCAAGATTTTAACAGTAACAGAGTTGGAAGGGACCTTGGAGGTCATCTAGTCCAACCCCCTGCTCACCCAGGAGACCTGTACTAAGGGATTGGAACCGCCGACCTACCAACCTTTCTGATTGACAAGCTCAGTGTCTTAGCCACTGAGCCATCTAGTCAGTCTCTTTTCTCTAGGCTTTTGATCAAGAAAGGAGAACAGGCCACAGAACTTCAGAAAGTAAGAGAAGAAAGGCTTTATTAATCTAATTCTGCTTTACAGTGGTCTGAAATGACCAAATTTACATGAGTTTATCTGACGAAGATGAGGGGGCTTTTTGACAATACAATGAAACAAATGTCTAACTTTAAATGCTGTAGATTATTGTTCTCTATGCACTGTCAGAAAATTACCAGGATACCGAACCTGGCTTTGTTAGTTTATTTATTTGTAGTTTCTGTATATATTTGTCAAAATCAGTCACTCCTCTTCCCACTTGAAATACAATAACAATCAATCAATCTGAGTTTCAGTTCTTCTGCCCTACAAGATTTAAACAAACATGGGTGGGTCTGTCTCTGTGTTTTCTGGGACTATTTTTGCCATGATGTACTGTATGCCAGTGTTCCTTTACTTCACTTTATTTTAATGGGAGTGTTATCTAAATATGATTCGAGAGGGAGGGCAGAGAAATCAACTTGAAGCAGTGCTTTCCAAATTTTGATAATTACCCAAAATTGGGTAAAAGTGGTTTTCTTTGGGTAGCCACATACAAACCCATTACCCAATCACAACAGGGACATTAAATTGACTTAAAGTGTTTTATCAGCATTGGATAAAAAATACTTTCTAATAAGTTGTTTTGAGTAATGAAGGAAAAAGTGTGGGAAGCACTGCCCTAGAGAATCCAAGCCCGACTCCTACAATCAGACCCACCTAATTTTTCCTCAAACACCCTTATCTATGGTTGTTTTAATCACATCTCACATAATGAATTGCACACACACAAACTATTAGAAATTGTTGTGTTAGCTGAAGAATAGCAATAGCACTTAGATTTATATGCTGCTTTACTGTGCTTTACAGCCCTCTCTAAGCGGTTTACAGGGTCAGCATATTGCCCCCAACAATCTGAGACCTCATTTTACCCACCTCGGAAGGATGGAAGACTGAGTCAACCTTGAGCCTGGTGAGATTTGAACTGCCAAATTGCAGGCAGCCGGCAGTCAGCAGAAGTAGCCTGCAGTACTGCACTCTAACTACTGCGCTACCACGGCTCAGAATGGATGGATATCACTTTAATTTGGAGGTGGGAAAGTTTAACTCAGACAGAGCCTCTTTGTTATACCTGATGCTTTTCTTGGTCATCACAAGCATTCCATATCTTGTGACAAATACCTGAGCATCCTCTACTGTGTTTATTTGGGGAATTTCATGCTGTATGAAATTTTCTGTTAATGTTATTTTTGAAAAGTGTACTTACAGAGACTGGTTAATTAAATTTATCTGAACACAACTTTGATTCAAATTCAGTAGCCAAGGAAAACGTTCAGGTAAATAGACATAGAACTCTTCGGGAGAACCGGCTGGTAACTTTCTGAGTAGTTTGGCAAACTGGTTGTTGGAAGAAATCATTAGGGCAGAGAACCGGTTGTTAAATTACTTGAATCCCACCGGTGTCTGTTGTCTATGTGTAATGTGTGGATTGTTTTTTAAATTATATTTTATGCCTTCACTGTGGTTGTGTACTTTAAAATTACATCTACCAGTACTCTAGGTTTATTAAAATAGAGTTCCTGTAGCATTTTGCTCTTGTCTTTTATATAAGTATTCTGTAATTCACCTATCATGTAATTTC